GCGCGCCTGACCTTGGGGAACAATTTCCACCCCGCCACCGCGCACCTCGGGCTCCCCCTCGCAGGTGCACCCCTCTTTCTCTTCCCGCTGCTGAGCCGTGGGCAGCAGCGCCTGGCTGCCCGCAGGGTAAGCTGGGGTGGAGGGAGAGGAGCCACCCTTCAGTTCTCTCGTCCTGTGGGAGAGGGAACAGCCGTGCCTGGTCATGGGCAGCCGTTAAGGCGGGACTTTGTGGAGCCTCGCTGGATATTCACCAACCCAACCATCTTGTTGCAGCGGATGCCAGCGTGGACCTGCTGCCGGGGCTGTTGCTGAAGAGAGGCCAGACCTCAGTAAGTGAGGGGGGCCATGCCCTCATTCGTAAGCCGGCAGACCTGGTGGGAACAACTAACGCGTGGGGCTGCAGGTGCCCTGCTCTGCTCCGGTCACCTCGCCCTCGGAGAGCAGCCGGGACAGGCGGCCGTCCTGGTTAGGGACACAGCTGCCGGGGGTCCTGCTCCTTCTTGTCAGGTTCATTGTAATTTGGGAAAATCCTGATCTTAGTCTGATAAAGAGGCTCAACAAGAGTTAACGGCTTATTCATTTGACAAGATCTATTTTGCTGTAATTTCTTAATGAATTTCAAAGCACGGTTGATGCAGTGGGGCTGTTCAGGCTGCAGCTTCTCTGACTTTCATGAGGACCTTTGACTTCTACAGTGGGGCCTTTGATTGAGAAAGTAGGATGTACCAGGATGACATCTTGCCATATTCAATGAGAGAGAAAATCCTGGCTAATGGTTTGATGTTGGGATGTTACAGTTGGGGAGTTAGAAGGGACCAGCTGTTTTCCGGAGAGGTGTTGCAGGCAGGTTGTAAGCCTAGCTTTAGAAACGGCTGTGGGTTGTCGTGGTTTGATAAATAAGAGCAGGAGCAGAGAAGTTTTGAAGCCGTTACGCTCCAGTGACCTGGAGGAAATCGGAAATCTTCGCCAATGAAACACGTAGCTGCTCAGGAGTGACCTGGCTTGCCCTCTGCGTTGGGTGTGCCAAAGTCCGAGTATGGGGAGAGGTGCAGATGTGCATCCGCAAAGCAAGGATGGCAGTCGCTGTGTAGGGTGGGCAGTCTCTCTACTAGGCTGGTCTCTTGTAGAGCCCTCCCTTCCTGGGGTAACGTGTTGAGGAGGAGAACCCCTCGCTTGGAGGCTGAGACCTAACGTGATCCCTGCGTGTCTGAATGGGAGTCTTAAGTGAAAGCTGGCAGCTGTCGCTGGTTTTGGCACTGGAATTGTTGCTGCTGGGTTCGCTCTCTGGCTCTCATGTCCATAACTCAAAAAGGATCTTCAGAAAATTTGGAGGTGATTCAGAGAAGGTCTCAGGAGGCCTCTCAGTTTTTGGAGGACACGTCTTATTGGGAGATTCAGGGCGCTCGGTATAGTTTACAGAGTGACTCAATCCGTCTGTAGGTGTGGTCCGCTCTTCAGTCTAGCACGCAGCTCAGTAACGTGCTCCGGTGGCTGCAGAGTTGCCTAGAAATATCTAGGAGTGTTCTTGGTCAGCCACAAGTATTTGACTTGACGCAGGAATAAGCTGGAATGGGCTGAGAGCCTGGCCAAGACCAGAGGCCAGGTTAAAACGCTGGGCTCCTTCTTGCCTTCAGGTTTAATTAAATGCTTTTTGTCTCTGTCTTGATTGATTCACTGCATAAGCTGAGTTTGTTCCAAACTGGCTAAAGTTTAACATGCCTCGTGGTCTAGGACGAGGGTGGGTGCAGGGTGTAGCGGAGGAGGCATTGGGATAGTGGGTTGCTGCTGCTGAAGTGACTTGGCTGACCGAGGTCCCTGGAACTATAGAGACTGGCTGTATGTTTAAGTCAGGCAAACCCTTTACCTTGCTGAGGCACGACTGTTGTATACAAGCCATTGATTTAGGACTTAATTCCTGAAGTGATTTCCTGGCCTGATCAGCTTTCTCAAAATGTGCTTGAGTCTGTCCCAGTTTCCCTGTCCTCCCTCCCTCCTTCCCTTCCTTCCAGGCACAAGGGGTTAATCAATCTCTTTTCTCCTGGAGTTGGGCTTTTGGGGCTTTTGCTGAAGATGCTCTCTCTTCTTTAAACTCTCCGCTTTGTGCCCCAGATGGTGAATGCCAAGAAACTGGAGAAGGCAGAAGCCAGGCTGAAAGCCAAGCAGGACAAGAGGATGGAGCGGGATTCCCTGAAGTCATCTGGCCCTCTGTGAGTATGGAGGATGCCTCAAACATCCCCATCCCGCTCTGTACCAGAGCTTTCCTGTTGAGCCCACTCCTTCTTCTGCCTGCCCACAGTGTCCTTGAGGAGGCATCTGCCAGCCAAGCTGCCAGCAAGAAGGAAACTCGCATGGAGTCATCAGGCAAGAACAAGTCGTATGACGTGCGCATCGAGAACTTTGATGTGTCCTTCGGTGAGCGGTGAGTGCAGGTGGGACAGATCTTGGCTGGGCTTTGAACAACGGGTTGTTGAATCTGGATTGGAGAGTGGTTGGGAAATGACAGAGGGCATGGGAAGGATCAGGAGGCGAGGTGGGCACCTGGTCCTGTTGCCTTTGGGCAGGAGAAGTCTGGGATGGTTGCTTGGCCCCTGCACAGCCTGAAATATGCTTGGGGCAGGTGGCTGCAGGTTATCTCCCTCTCCATGGGGCGTCTGACCAGGTACCTGCCTGTTCTCTTGCTTTAGCGTCCTCCTGGCGGGAGCAGACCTGAACCTGGCGTTTGGCCGACGCTATGGGCTGGTGGGCAGGAACGGGCTGGGCAAGACCACACTGCTGAAGATGATCGCCAGCCGGAGCCTGCGCATCCCCTCGCACATCAGCATCCTCCATGTGGAGCAGGAGGTGGCAGGGGACGAGACGCCAGCGCTGCAGAGTGTGCTGGAGTGCGACACCACGCGTGAGAGTCTGCTGCGGGAGGAGAGGGATCTGACGGCTAAGATTAATTCCGGCAGGTGAGATGTTGCCACTGGGTTTCCAGCCCTTCTATGGCCTCTTGAGCGTGAGGTCTCGTTCTGAGGTCTCTCCCTTCAAATGAAGGGCTCTGTCAGGGCTGGGCTGCGTCCTGCCCACCTTAGTCCTGCGTGGGGAGATCAGCCAAAATCAGCATTCAAACCCCAACCCCCGTCAGTCCCACACACTCTTCTTTGTCCTGCCCCAGGGGAGAAGGGACAGAAGGTGCCAGGCTATCAGAGGTCTACGCGAAGCTGGAGGAGATTGAGGCAGACAAGGCCCCAGCAAGGTGAGACAGCCCTGCGGGCACCGCTGGTTGTTGGCGTGGGCAGTGGTTTGGGGTGATGCTGTGGCCCTGGCATCCAGCATGTGGGGACAAGGGGCTCTCCCTACTGCTGCTCGTGTCTCTTCTTCTGTCACAGCTCTGCTGGGTTAGGAGTAGTCAAGCTTCCCCCCAAAGCTTGGGGGGATTTTTTTTTTTTGCCCCAAATGGCTTGCATTGTTGCTGCTGCTCCTCTTGGACCTCCTCAGGTTGCTCGTGGTCTGGGGAACTTTTCTGGGATGTTGGTGGTAGTGATTCTCTTCCCGGCCAAATTGCCGAAAGCTTCTTGCAAATCTCCTGGGATGCTGTGCCCTCTTGGGCTGCGTTTCCCAGCCAAGCTCTTGGGCGTGCAGGAAAGTTTTTCTGTGCCAGAATGACCTTAAACCATGCAGCAGGGTCCCCACAGTGACTGTGGGTCCAGGACCTCAGACTGTGCTCTGCAGCTGGGTTCCAGTTCTCTCCACTTTTCCCCAGGGCATCCGTCATTCTCGCTGGGCTGGGCTTTAATGCGAAGATGCAACAACAGACAACCAAGTAAGTCTCCGGGTTCTGGGCGTCGAGACAGAAATGGCTCTGGGGAGACGGTGCTGCTAGCGAGCCCCCGGGCACTGCTGTGGCTGTAAAGGAGGGGAGCCCTGCAGGAATGTGAGGGTCTGTGTTAAACAGTAACCCCTCTCTGCAACCTCTTATCTCCTCAGAGAGTTTTCCGGAGGCTGGAGAATGAGACTGGCCTTAGCCAGAGCCCTGTTTGCCAGGTCGGTGTCCAAGCCTTCATGCAATGGGGTTAACCCTCCGTGCTGTCCATGCTGTGAGGTGTCGGGGTGCTGCCATGGGGTCCTCTTGACTCGGGCTCTCGGGGTGGGGAGCATCGGAGCCATCGCAGCTCTGTGTGTGTGGTGAAACGCACGCTGCGCTGACCCTGGGCAATTTTTGCTTCTGATACCCGTCTTGTTTTTCCTAGGCCAGATCTCCTTCTGCTGGATGGTAAGTCGATACTGTGAGTCCCTTCCGACTCCGCTGCTGGGCCTGCCTGTGTCCTTGCTGGGGTTGGGAATGCGCCGTGGCCTTTAGCCGTCTGCTCAAAATAGCCCTGCGTGACGGGGCTGCCGGTGCTCCCCTGGCACAGCAGGCAGAGCTGCAGTGGCACGGGGAGGTCTGCTTGGGCAGCCGGGGAGGGGGGAGGGTGGCTGGGCCAGCCGCTTTCGCTGCGCTCGGCAGAGCTCTGCCCTGTGCCCCAGTGGGGTCATCTGCATGTCAGCGTGCTCCAAGCGGTCCTTTCCCTCACCCGGCCCTGTGACGGGCCCTGGCTGCCAGCCCACTTTGGGAGTCCCTTCACCCTGGGGCTGGGCTGGCTCCCTGAGGAGGTGCCCACCTTGGGTGGGGGGTCTGGGTGAGACGCTGCTGCCAGGCACCAGGGTCCGGGTCCTGGCATGGAGTCGGGGGAG